CCGGCCGCCCGCTCGCTACCTGGGCAGAGGCCTCCAGCTCCTGCACCCGGGCCTGCAGCAGGGCCTTTTCCTGCTGCAGCTCCCACAGCAGCTCCTGGCTGGGCCGCTGCTCCATGGCGTGCCGCAGCTTCAGCGTGTGCTTGCGCTCCACCTTGCAGTCGTCCTCCGCCTTCATCAGGCTGTGCTTCAGCCGGTCGATCTGCAGGGCGACTCCGTCAGCCCGGCGGCCCCTCCCCGTGGCCTCGGGGCGGTGCCCCACTGCCCCGGGCCACCCCGGAGCCCCGAGGGCCCGCAGGGCACCTCCAGCTGCAGGTCGCGGTTGCGCATGAGCGCGGCGCCCCTGTCCTCGCTCTGGCGGGCCAGGCGCATGGCCAGGTCGTAGTTCTCGTCCTTGTAGCGCTTGAGCTCGCGGCCGCAGGCCTCGCACTCCTCCTTGAGCCTCTGCACGCGCTCCTGGTGCTTGCGCAGCAGGCTGTCCTTGACCCGCAGCTCCTTGATGAAGTCGTCCTTGGAGCTCAGCAGCGCCGTCAGGTCCTGCACCTTCTTCTGCAGCTTCATGACCTCGCTCATCAGGAGCTGCGTCAGGCCCGACTCCCCGGACGCGTCTGCAGACGGAGCTAGCGTCAGGCCCTCCTCCTGCCTCCCCCGCTGCCCTGAACTGGACCAGCAGCTCGTGGCTCCGGGGGACGATTCCAGGTTGCTGCTGCTGCCGTGCGTCCAGACGATGGACTGACATTCGGCATCACCTCCTTGCCCCTGTGCCTGACCCCACGGAACAGGGTGCAGCCTTGGGGCCGGGTGCTCATCCATCTTTGTCTAATTACGATCTCAACTCCGTGAGGCACGAGGACTCAGCTCAGGGGCCCGGAGGGTGCTGCCCCGCCCTTGCCAGGCCCTGCGGGCCCCTGACCGCTCAGGCGCAGCGGCTGTGACTAACGAGTCAGACGGTCTGGGCACCCCGCCGCCCGCCCGCCGCCCTCCGGAGGACGGGTCCCCTTCTTCCAGCGTCTGCTCCCTCCACAAGCATTAGAAGACAGAGGGACGGGAGCACCCCGTGCGGTACCCTCATTCTCTCAAACCACTTTATCCACCTGCAGACCAGACGGGCAGGGGCCTGCCAGTGCTGCGCCCATGCCTCCCACGCCTGGCTCCACCCCCGCCCGCCCCTCCCCGCCGCACGCTGGGTGTCCCGTCTTCACCGATGATCATGGAGAAGACGCGGGAGGGCTCCTTGCCCGTGACCTTCTTGTAGAGTTGCGGATAGTAGAGCTCCAGGCTCTCGAGGAAGGCCACATAGCCCTTGTGGCCGGTCCGCTGCAGGATGTCCAGGAGTACGCCTGCAACCCAGAGAGGCCTGGCTGGGCAGGGGCCACGGCCCAGGGACGCGCAGGGTCTGGGACGCCCACCGCCACCGCGGACGTGGGCCTGGGTCCACGCGCCACCCAGCGGCCTCAGCTGAGCACGGAGGCGCCGAGCCCCAAGCGGATGGGACGGGACGGGACGGGACAGGCGGCACTGACCCACTTTCCGCTTGCGGATGACGAGGTTGGGGTCGCTGAGCACCTGCTCCTCGTCGTCGGGGTTCAGGACTTTGCACTGCCGCAGGTAGGGAGTGATGCGCGAGGGGTCGATGACCGAGATGAGCTTCACCCTGAAGCCCTCCAGTGTGCTCCAGCACGCATCCTCGTTCTCGTAGTCCGACATGGCGGCAGCGGCGGCTGGCGTTCAGGGCAGCAGCTGCGAAGGGCCCCGGCTCACTGAGCAGTCGGTCCAAGCCAGGACCCAGGCCTGCCACCCAGGTGCCCAGCAGGACTCCGGGCGGAGCCTGACAGGAAACTCATCCAGGTGTGCAGCCTCACCCCCACACTGCCACTCGGAGGCCAAGAGAGGCGCCCACACCGGTGCGGTGACCTGCTCCCCACTGGCTCACCGCGGCGGCCTCCGCGGCCTTCCCTGGGTCCTGCTCCCACCTCTCTGGCCACCCTGGGCTTTTTCTGTTCCCGAGTCAACCAGCTAAGTGTGGCGGGGACAATGTGGAGATGCTCCAGGGACAGGTGGTGTCTAAGAAAACAGTACCTTCTGCACCACCCTCCTCAGGCCTCCGCCTGCTCCTGACACCAAAGTGCCACGGAGCTGCAGCTGGCAGGGGTGGGCGGGCAGGAGCTGTTTGTGTCGCGTGCCATCCGCTGGCACAGCCTCCCTGGCAGGTGTGGGGAGGGAGGCGCCAGCTCCCCGTCAGCCAGTGCCCAGGCTGGGTCCAAAGCACGTTGGCGAGTGCCCCTCCCACCCGCACGGCCCCACGCCGTGCCCTGCCGGGCCGTGCCGGACTTCCTCATTCCCCGACTCGGTGCCCGCTCACATCCCGGGCCTGCCCCCTCCTCTCCTTCCGGAGCCTGGCTGGTGATGCAACAGTCACCCAGCAGCTGCCCAGGGCTGCCCTGCTCCAAGTCAGGCTCAGCGACACTGTGCCATTTGGGAAGGGTGACTGGACGCCTACAGGAGAGCCAGGGCCCCATCACATGGGGAGGGGCTGTGGTGTGACCCAGGGCCCCAGGTGCTGCCCGGGCACCTGCTCCAGCTGCTCCGGGGCCCCCGGCCCTCTCAGGGCTCCCCTCGTGCCTCCCACATGGAGCCTGCCCCAGACCACACTCGGGAGTGGTCCCTTCTGCACTCACGCAAGGGGACCGCCTACGTTGGGACCACTCCCGGCTGTCCCACTGCATCCCCCTTCTACCAGCTTGCAGCAAGCTGCTCTCTCCGGGGCCAGGCCAAGGCTGGGAACAGCCATTTGGTCGCACCTCCACCGAGGGGTGTGGACAGGGACCCCGACCTGGCCACCTAAGACAGAGCCCTCAGCTCAGGCGCTAGACCACAGTCCTAGAAACACAGCAAGTCCAGTCTTGTGCGGGGTTTCCCCAACTGGCTGCCACTGCACTTGGTCACCCCACCCAGCCTGGCCACAGCAACTCAGTGGCAGGTCCTTGGGACCTTCGGCCGCTCCCCACCTTTCTAGCTTGAAGCCCATGGGCCCCATGCCCGCAGCCCGAACGCCCTGGTGCCCTGCTGCTGGCTCCGTTGAAACACGTAAGCAAGTACCAGTGGCTGTGGAGGGGACGGGCCCCTCGGTGCCCCTCAGTGTGTTTGCTCCAGGGCCCACTCCCTGCCCCCAGGAGTCCTGAGCAGAGAGCCACAGCATCTTCCCAGCCGCCTTTCAGAAAGGGCGTAAGGCCAGCCTACCTCAGGGTCCTGGAGGGGGCACCCACGCAGCTGGACACCGATTCACCAGGCAGTAGGTGAGCCGGCCGGAGAGAGGGAGGTGCCAGCCACAGGGCCTGTGCACTTCCTGATGGCTCTGCTCAGCCCTGCAAAGGCAGAGGCCGGCTGGTTCTCCCACAGTGGGACAGTCCCGCGGCCGCCTTCTGATTGGCCCAGCCAGGGCAGCCCTCGGAGGTGGGGCCCCGGGAAGTGGAAGTTGTGGCTCTCCAAAGAAAGCTGCTGAGAGCCCCCAGCCCTGGAGGCCCAGCCCCGGCACCCCGCGGAGTGCAAGTTCCAGCAAAGTCCCTCCCAGGGGATGCGTGGGGCTGATGCGCTGGCTGGTCTGCCGGGCCCAGATGCAGGCTCCTGGGGACTCCTCCGGCTGGGTGCTCCGTGCGTGGCACTTGCGCCTTCAGCAGCCCTGTGTGAACCAGCGCCACCCGGCCTGCCTCTGGGGTGTGGGCGGGGACAGCTCCGCCAGGGACCCTAGGGCATCCACCGACTCGCTGGTGCTGGGCGCCCCCACAGCCAGGCCGGCCCACGCTTTAGTCACGCAGGGACTGCAGCGTGGTGCCTGAAGAGAGCATGAGGCCGCTGTGGCCAGGAAGAGCCCGTGGGCCCCCGCCGCTCCTGCCCCCACCCCACCAGCTCACGTCATCCTGTCCCGGGAGTGTCCCCACTCGGCAACCCCTCTCCATTGGGTCAGACGTGACAGTGACAGCATGCTCCAAAGGTGTTTCAGAAGGGTGTGGGCCACAGGGCGCTAGTCCCGTGGGCCATGGGAATTCCCAGGCCGCCACCTCACCAGGGCGGCCATACCGGTTGAACTGAGGTGCTGCCTTCCGTGTTGAGGCGACAACTGCAGGAAGGGGCTGTGGCTGGACGGGCAGGACGGGCAGGACGGGGGCCTGACGCGCTCCTGGCCCTACCTCCCGAGGCGCCTGGCCTCTGGCCCGACCGCTCCCTTCCTGTCAGGCCTCGGTCCTCAGCTCCGGGCTTCGCTGCCTCCTGGCGCATGGCAGTCAGTTGGACGTCCTGGCACAAGCAGGGGCTGCGGAGTGGGGGTGGTGGCCTGCCACCCTGGCCCTCTGAGGGCAGGGGCCCAACGTCTCCCCGGGAGGAGCAGGCAGCCCTCAGGGGAGCCGCACTCTGGGGCTTGGCCCTGGGCTGGGTACGCTGGCCTGTGCCAGGCCCCCGGCCACCGAGTTTCCCACTTTGAATAATGAGGCTAATAAAGAAGCATCAAGTGACGAAAATGCCATGTTCTCTGAGTGCACTGGGACTTCGCTACGAAGAAGGAACAGAAAGCTTTCCGGACAATCCCTGCCTGTTTGAAAATTAGATGCAAACCTAACAACCCGCAAGCCAGAGGAAGTCAAAGGAAAACCGGAAACTGGCTGAAAATGCTGGGCACAACGCATGCACACGCACAGGCGACCCGCGGGGAGGGCGAGTGGGCCTGTGGCAGGTGGGATGTGTGCCGGCCGGTCCGGCAGGAGCGAAGAGGAGACGTGACGCCAATCCCGTGTGGAGGCCAGGAGCCAGGACGCGCGCTGGGCACACGTTCCGTCTCTGCCAGGAGCTTTTGATTAAATCAACCAGTGGAACCAAAGAGAAGCAGCCTCAAGGACGAACTGGGGACCACGTGCCTCGGAGGCTGTAAACGGAACCCAGGCTGGGTGTCCTTGGGCTGGGGCCGGGGGTGCTGGGACTCAGCCTGACGTTACAGGAACACGGCTGTGAAAGAACAGCCTGCGGGGCGGCCTGGGTGGCTTGTGTGCCTTGGTGGCAGAGGGAGCGGATGCCCCTCGTCCCTGAGGGAGCACCCAGAGGGCAGGTAGCCCAAGAGCGCCTCATGACAAGGACTCTGCTTCTCTCCCCACACCCCGGGGAGGCCCAGTCCCCCGCTCCGCCCCGCGCCTCAGAAAGACCATGAGAGCCGGGTTCTTGATGAAAAAATAGGACATTTACTCAGTTCCTTCAAATATTCCAATCTGTGCTTGGGGACTAGCCGAGCCCCTGTGACAACGTGGTCACTGCTTGGCCTGGCTTTCTCCTGCAGGGCGGGTGCTGGGCTCCTGGGGCAGGGGCTCGCCAGTCCAGCAGGGTCCCACCTCCCGTGGGTGGCAGCAGGCGTCCAGGCCCGGCTATCCTGGAACACAAGAATACCCTGATGAGGGGGGGCGCCCTGACCCCACGGATGGCGCTGGAGGGGGACAGGAACCGAAGGTGGCACTGTGCCTCGTCGGGGAGGGAGAGGTCCACAGAGTGGGGGCTGGGCAGAGGCTGAGCTGCGAAGACGTCCCCTCTGTGGTGCCCCACTTCTCCAGGACCCCCGACCCCTCCTGCCCCTTCCAGAACCAGGAACCTTGCAGCCCACACTGCTCAGAGGAGCTGGGTCTTGGGGACCTGCCGACCACGGCGTCCTCCCCGACCTGGGTCAGTTTCCCAAACCACCCATTTGTGCTGAGGGCTGACGTGGTGCCTGTGTCTGGGCTCGTGTCCGTGGGGAAGGCAGTGGACAGAGGCGGAGGCCAGCTGCCAGGAGGGGCAAATGCAGCAGCACAGCCGGACACTGCCGCCTCAGGAGCGGGCCGGGGAAGGCAGGCCTGGGGAACTGACCATTGAGCAGAGGCCTGAATGGAGCAGGGAGACAAGCCCTGCAGACAGGGCACAGCAGGAAGCACCTGGAGACGGGTGTGGGTGTGGCAGCAAGGGTCAGCCAGCCCACCCCCAGACGCACCCACCCTAACACCCTCACACCTGCTGTGAGACACGGAGGCCCCGTCCCCCCGCATGCCAGGACTGCTGCCTCCCGCACTCACCTGCTCACACCAGCCTCCTTCGCTTCCGGGCGTGTCGCGAGTGCCGGGTCCTAAGCACGTCAAAGTCACCAGACTCGTCCAGGCAGGAGGGAGCAGAGCCCTCGCCAGGATCTGGGACTCCCTGAAACAAAATCCAGGCCAGGGGACAAGCGTGACCCTCCAGCCAGGAGAGGCATGGGCTGGGTGGCAGTGAGCAACTGGAATGGGCTGGGGGTTGTGGATGCTGTGTCCCCCAACACTTGAGATGGAGCAGCTCCCAGGCAAAGGGAGGCGCCAGCAGTGGAAGCCACTCCAGGCTGGGACTGGAGACACTGCCACATGCAGGGGTCACAACAGGCAAAGAACAGGAAGGCACTGCCCTTCCGTGGCCACACGTGGGCTCTGGCTTCCTTCTGACCCCTCCCTCACCTAGGGTTCTGAACCCCTGTGAACCGCCCCCAAGAACCAGCCTCTGTGCCATGGTCCCCAGCCGAGCCAGTGGGGCAGTGACTGAGAAACCTGTGGTGCAGGTGGGGGCACACTGGGGGCCAGGGAGCCTCTTCCCCTTGACGTCTGGGGTCCAGAGTGCACGTCAGCCCAGAAAACAGCCTGGGACCCCTAGGCAAGGCCCCTGGGGAGGAAGGTGACATTCCCAGCAGCCTGGGCAGGACCAAACCTGCAAGGAGGGTGGCACAGCCGCCAGCCACAATCCTGGCTTCCCATGTCCACCAGCTCAGTGGCCACTGCCACCCCAGGAGGGGAAGTGGGAGGGCCACCACACGCTCCCTGGGACAACCCCCCAGACTTGGCACGAAGGGTCTGAGGTGGCCCAGCTCTCCTGCTCAGCCCCACAGGGCAGAGGCGGCCTTGCTGGGGACTCTTGGGCACACACGGCCAGAGGGCGCGGGGACACCTTCCACAGGTGTTGTAGCCGGTTCCACGTCAGGAAACAGGAGCGGTGATGCTGCCGGCCCAGCTCAGAAAGCCCTGGCCGCACCTGACGGCTGGGAGGGCCCGGGTGCCCACAGAGGTGCAGGTGCGGGGGAGGCGCTCCGCTGAGCTGCCGGTCGGGGGAGCGAGTGTGCACATGTGCGTGCACATGCACGCGGACGGAGCCCGCGGTCCGGCTCTCCCTCAGGCAAGGCCACGCGGCCGGGCTGGCAGCCCACGTTAGAAGCCAGGCTCCTCCCTCTCCCAGCTCCCATGCTGGCCGGAAGAGGAGGCGAGCGCGGCCCAGCACCCGCGTGCGACGAGCTTCCTTCTCCTCAGGAGCCCACGCTGGGTCTTCCACCGCCGGGACCCCAGCCCCGCCCCTGCCCCTTAGGTAGGCCCCACTCCCACGAGCAGCCAGGGGCGGCCTGGGGGTGCAAGGAAGTGGGGTGAGGGCTCTGCCCATGGCCGCCTACCTGAACGGGGCTTGAGGCTGCTGGCCTGTCCTGGGGACTGCCGCCCGTCCAGCAGCCCGGCTGCCCGTCGCCATCAGAGAGCTCCAGCTCCCCCAGGTCCTCCAGGTCGCCCTCAGGGTGGTCCCGGGCGGCTGCTGCTAACGTGGTGGGGACTCCGCGAGGGGGCAACGTGGCCAGGAGCGCGGGGAGGGTGAAGACTGCCAGGAAGCGTGCCTTCAGCAGCAAGTAGGCTGGGCTGTCCCCGAGCCGCCCCTGCAGCAGCCCTGGCGAGGCCTGTGGGGTCCTGGCCGCCCCGCTGGGCATGAGGGAGGCGGCTTTGTGCTCCAAAGCCTTCTTGTGGAGCAGGAGGCCAGCCAGCGCCCGCAGGCTGCACAGGGCGGGGGGCTGGTAGGGCAGCCTGCTCCTCAAGGGGGGCACGCACACACCTCGCTGTCCCTGCAGCCACTCCCGCACGGCCACCTCGCTCTCCTGGGACACCAGGCCTAGGTCCAGGGCGCCCTTCTCAGGCCCCAGCCGCGGTGGGGGTTGCCTCTCCGAGTCCAGAGGCCCCCTGGTCTTCCCTGGGTCTGAGCGGGACACCAGCGTCCCTCCCGGGCCACTGCCTGGGTAAGCACTGCCGTGTGTAGGCAGCTGGCTGGGCCGGGTAGGCTCTGCTTCAGGGGGGTCAGCCACGAGCGCAGTCTTGGAGGCTATTTCCCCAGCCGCTTGGGCCTCTCCAGGGGACGAGTGTCCCTTAGGGGCGCGGGCCATGTCACCGTCCACTTCTGCAGCAGGGACTTGAGGTGGCAGGGGCGTCGAAAGGGTCATGAGGTCTGTCCTGGAAGAAGGATCTGGTTCCACGTCTATGTTGGCCAGGCCCTGGCCCTCCTGAGTTTCAGTCAGAGAAGGTGACAGAGTCACTAACAGCCCTTTGGGGTCAAGGGTCTCTGCTGGCCTGGAAATGCCTGCCATGGCTGGCACTGGCACAGGAAGCAGCCCCTGGGTTGTGAGCACCCAGGTGACAGGCAGAGGGGTGCTGGCTGCCACGCGTGCTTCGCCCCCGTGGGTGCCCAGAGCTGGCGTCAAGCTGAGGGGCTGGACAGGCAGCTGAGCGGGGCTGGGGGCTGCGGGGAGAAAGGGCAGCGCCTCGGGCAGGCCCTGCTTCCGGGTCGTGGCAGGGGCCTGGGACTGTCCCAGACCACTCAGATGGCAGCTCATGGGGAGCTGGCTGGGGCCCAGAGCCGGGGTCCTGGAGGCAGCAGGGGCAGTTGGGGCCTTCACAGCCACCGTGGAGGCAGGAGGAAAGGCCAAGGCTTGCAAGACGGGGGTTCCCCTGTCTTCAGCTGAGGCCCAGGAGCCAGAAGTACTCGGACCGGCCGCTGTAGGGGCCCCAGGACCAGAGAGCGTGGACTCGGAGACGGCCGGCCCCGTGGCTGGGGGGCTCGGGGAGACCAGTGGCAGGGCGGGCTGGAGGACCACAGGCGAGGAGACCAGCAGCTGGGGGGGCAGGGCCGCAGGGCCCTGGGCAGCCTTGCTGGCTCGAGCCTCCCGTAGCCGCTTCTCCCGAAGCAGCTCAGACACAGTCTTGGGCTTGGGCCGGGGGCCGCACGAAGCTGGCGGGGGTGCCTGTGGAGTGGGCTCAGGCCAGCAGGCCTGCAGCCCCCTGCTCCCTCTGCAAAGGGTGCTTTTCACAGCTTTCCGGGCTGGCACGTTCTGCGAGAGGCAGCCTGAAGAAGAACAGGACACACACCGAAGTCCAGGTGGCTGGCCTAACACAAGCCACACCCCTGCACCCTGCTGGCAGGCCCTCCTGCTGGGCACTTACTGGGAGCACAGAAGCAAGAGCCCAGCACCCAGGCCGAGAGGGGCCCACCAGTCTGGCTGCACATTCTCGTGCCTCCCCACCCATGGCTCCACTCAGCCCAGCCCCGTGCCCACTGGATACCCGCCCTCGCCTGCCCCACCGCTCATGAACATGTCCAAAGCCAGGCTGCGGGGGCTGCTGCCCACCCTCCCCGTGTTACCCTCAGGACCCCAGACCCCCGCCCGACTCCGCTCGTGTGGTGGCCTGGTGGCTGCCAGCAGAGGGGCCCCCCGCCAAGTCTGCGCCGGGGAGGCCTTGGGGCTCACGTGCTGGGCTCACAGGTGGGACCCCCAGGCGCTGCCGCAGCCCCAGCTCAGGGCAGCCGCTCTCATCCCTCTTATGGGACTCAAACAAGATCCCCCGCCAAGCCATGGCCAAGCTGCTCCAGCCCCAAAGCCAAAGCCTGGGAGGTCTGGCCTTTGCCCCTACGGCTGGCCAGGGTGGGGGGCATACCTGTAGTGCTCCGGGCACTCGAGGGCACCTGGAGAGGAGGGAGAATCAGCACCGTGGGGGCCCCCACACTTCGCCGCCGCCACCAGGAGCATCGCTCACAGCTCATCTGCGTAGGGGTGGGCGCCAGAGCCTGCCGCCCGCACCCCTTCTGCATGCCACTTGGGGGCCACCAGCCGGCCTGGACAGCCTACTCGGCCCTCATACCCCATGCCCTGGGCACTGGCCTCCCTTCTGATGCAGCCTCACACAGAGGCACCCTTGGGAGAGCTCACATTGGGGGTCTGGGCCGGTTTGCAGGGAGAGGCCAGGGCCTGGCTGCTTGGGCAGGGCACCACGGCCCTCTCTGGTTCTAGGACTAGCAGTGGCATTTCGTGGTTTCCTCCCATGGTGGCCGGGCTCAGGGACATGGCCTCTCAGCAGGCAGCCCCTTGGGCTCGGCCTCCTGCCTGAGGTGACACCGGGACAGCAGGGTGGTGGGTGTGGCGGGAGAGGCGGGTGCCGGGAGCCAGGCGGGCCTGAGTGCTCGTTCTGGCTCCGCAGCCCCAGGAACCCTCCACCCCCCATCCGCAGGGCCCTGGGCCCTCACCAAGGCACGGGCAGACCCCTCCCTGCAGTGCCTCCGTGGGCAGAGGAGTTGCCCATAGCCAGGGGTGGGCAGGGGCTGCTCTCGACCCCGGGATGCTCCGTCCCTGAAAGAGCTGGCAGTGCCTCACCCCCCGGCTGGACCAACGCCATCTGCACCCAGCAGCGGCCAGAGGTGGGAGGGAAGGGTGCCAGGAGCCCGGTGAGCCCCGGCCCAGCACTCACCCTTCCTTCTCACCTGCAGGGGCCGCTGCAGTGGCTCCTGGGAGCCACTCTGGGGCAGGGTGGCCAGCAGGGCCTTCCGCTCCCGAACGACCTCCATGCAGCCGGCAGTGTTGATCTGGAACAGCTGAGAGACACACGTGGCACACGCGTGACACACCATGTAACAGGAGGACCTGCCCCGAGGCTGCCTACCTGCCCCACAGGCCAAGACGACACACGTGTCTACAGTGGAACACAGGCCAGCTGTGACCACAGCGCCTGTCACGGAGCAGACCCCACGACACTCCCCCAACTTTGTCATCTTCTGGCTTCCCCAACCCCACCCCACCCATGGGACAGGGACGGAGCCATGGTGGTCCTTCCATGTTAATGCGCTCACTGCGCGTTGTCGGGCTCCGAGCGACTGCCAGACTCCCGCCTGGAAGGCGGGACCTCAGGAGGCGAGCCCCTGCGAAGCCGCGCTGCACGCAGAAACGGCAGGGCGGGGCTCAGCGCGGGGCTCACCTGGATGAACAGGGCAAACGCCGGGGTGCTGGCCAGGCGAGCGTCCTGCAGCCGCGTCCTGATGCTGTCGGCTGTGGGGACGAAGGCAGATCTACAAAGTGGCCCTGGCCACCAAGCCCCGTTTCTGGAGGCCCCGAGCCCCAGAGACTGGGCGCCAGGCGGGGTGCCCCAAAGAGCTCCACCCCCGCGGCTGCCCCGCTCGGCCCACAGAGCTAGGCCCAGCCTTCGGGGACAGAGTGCTGACAGCTAATGCTCGGGCAGCCCGACTGGCCCTCGGAAACCTGCACGTGTGCACCCATGTGGCCACGACCCCGATGCGCCCCTGCTGAGGCCTGGCCATCGGGTCACCCCAATCTGACCATCGTGTGCCAAGCAGGACAGAGGCAAAACCAACACCCAACCGAGCAGACG